CAGTATTACTTCTTCCAATCCATGAGCATGGGAGGTCCTTCCATCTTCTGATGTCTTCCTCGATCTCTTCAAAAATTTAAAATTTTCATTGTACAGGTCTTAATGTCTTTGGTAGGGTTTATTCTGAGATATTTTATTTTATTTTATTTTATTTTATTTTATTTTGCAGCTATTGTGAAGGGGAGTGCTCTTTCTCTGATTGTTATTGGTATATAGATAGGGAACAGACTTTTGTAGGTTAATATTGTTACCTGCCACTTTACTGAATGTGTTAACAGTTTCTAGGAGTTTTCTGGTGGACTTTTTTTAGCATCTCTTAGATATAATATCGTATCATCTGCAAAAAGAGATAATTTGATCTATTCTTTTCCAATTATTACTCCTTTAATTTCCTGCTCTTGTCTTATTGCTCTTGCAAGAGTTTCAAGAACTATGTTAAAGAGGAGTGGAGATAGTGAACAGTCTTGTCTGGTTCCTGATTTCAATGGGAATGCTTCCAGTTTTTCTCTATTTAGAATGATGTTGGCTGTAGCTTTGTTATATATGTTGAAGTATGTTCCCTCTGGTTTAATTCTCTCTAGGACTTTGAACATAAATGCATGTTGAATTTTGTCAAAGGCCTTCTCTGCATCTATTGAGATGACCATGTGATTCTTGCCTTTGAGCCCATTTATATGATTTATGACGTTTATTGACTTACATATATTGAACCCATCCCTGCATCTCTGGGATAAAGCCGACTTGATCATGGTGGATGTTTTTTTTTTTGGATGTGCGTCTGTATGCAGTTTGCAAGTATCTTGTTGAGAATTTTTTCATCTATGTTCATTAAGGATATCAGTCTATAGTTTTCTTTTTTTGTTGTATCTTTACCTGGCTTTGGTATTAGAGTGATGCTGGCTTCATAGAAGGAATTTGGAAGTTCTCCCTCTATTGCTGTTTTTTTTTTTTTTTTTAACAAATTTAGTAGTATTGGATGCAGATCTTCTTTAAATGTCTGATAGAATTCTATTGTAAATCCATATGGTCTTTTTTTTTAGTCGGGAGGTTTTGTATTACTGTTTCAATTTCTTTTTGTGTTATGGGTCTGTTTAAATTCTTAATCTCTTCTTGGTTTAGTTTTGGTGGTTCCCGTGCCTTTGGATATCCGTCCTTTTTTTTTTTTTTTTTTAGGTTTTGATATTTAGTAGCATATAGGTTTTTAAAGTATTCCATTATAATGGTCCAAATCTTTCTGGTGTCTGTTGTGATATTCCCCCTTTCATCTATGATTTTATTGATTTGGAGGTGCTCTTTTTTTCTTTTGGTTAACTGGTCTAGTGGTCTGTCAATCTTGTTTATCTTTTCAAAGAACCAGCTCTTGGATTCATTGATTCTTTGTCTTGTTTTCTTTGTTTCAATTTCATTAATTTCTGTCCTGATTTTTGTTATTTCTTCTTGTCTGCTGGGTTTGGGTTTCGTTTGCTATTGCTTTTCAAGTGTCTTGAGTCACAATGTTAAGTCATTTATTTGTGTTATTTCCGATTTTTTGATGTAGGAACTTAGAGCTGTAAACTCCCCTCTAAGGACTGCTTTCAGCATGTCCCAGAGGTTTTTTTGTGTTGTATTGTCCTTTTCATTTAGTTAGAGGAATATTTTTAGTTCTTAATTTCTCTTTTGACCCATTCATCATTTAGGAGAGTGTTGTTTAATCTCCATGTGTTCAAGTGGTGATTAGGGCTTCTTCCTGTGTTGATTGTAAGCTTTATTGCATTGTGGTCTGATAAAATGCATGGAATTATTTCAACTGTTTTGCATTTGTTGAGGTTTGTTTTGTGCCCCAGTATATGATCGATTTTGGAGAAGGTTCCATGGAGTGCTGAGTAGAAAGTATGTCCTTTGGTGCTTGCATGGAATACTCTGCAGATGTCTGTTAAGTCCATTTGATATATGGTATTTTTTAATTCAGATGTCTCCCTGTTAACTCTCTGCCTTGTTGACCTGTCTAATGGAGGCAGTGGGGTATTGAAGTCCGCTACTATTAATGAGTTTGGGTCTTAAAGTCCTGTAGTATTGTTTTTATGAAGTTGGGTGCACCAGAGTTTGATGAATATATGTTCATGATTGCAATATCTTCTTGATTTATTGTTCCTTTGATCAGAATGAAGTGGCCCTCTTTATCTCTTCTGATTAGTTTTAGTTTAAAGTCTATTTTGTCAAATATTAGAATTTCTATGCCTGCTTTTTTCTTAGTGCTTTTTGCTTGTTATATTTTTTTCCATCCTTTCACTTTAAGATAGTGTCTTCCCTTGAATGTGAGATTCTTGCAAACAACAAAAAGATGGATTTTGTTTCTTAATCCATTCACCTAGTTTGTGTTTTTTGACTGGGGAGTTCAGTCTGTTAATATTTAAAGTTATTAATGAAAGATGAGTATTGAATCCTGCCTTTTTTATTGCTGTTTACATTCTTGATATAGCTGTAGTTTTCCACAGTTATACCATCATTGAATTTCTTCCCGCAACCCCTTGGGTATAGTCATTCCTTTCTTCAGCTCTTTGTATTGCTTCCATAACTCTCTGAAGGGCTGGTTTTGTGGATGTGAATTTCTTCAGCCTATTTATGTCATGGAAAATTTTTCTTTCCCCTTTGACTATGATAGACATTTTGGCTGTGTATAGTAATCTGGGTTGGCATCTGTGGCCTTTTAAAACTGGGAATATTTTGGGTCAGGCTCTTCTGGCTTTCATAGTTTGCCCTGAAAAGTCAGCTGTAATCCTTGTGGGTTTTCCTTTATATATGACTTGTTGTTTCTCTTTTGCAGCTTTCCCTATTGTCTCTTTGTTTTGTACATTTAGTGTTTTTACTATAATGTACTGTGGAGGGTTTCTACTCTGGTCCTGTCTGTTTGGTGTTCTATATGCTTCTTGTATTTGTATGGGCATGTCTTTCTTTAATTTGGGGAAATTTTCTTCCATGATTCTGTTGAAGATGTGATCCATGCCATTATCCTGGGACTCTTCTCCTTCCTGTACACCTATGATTTGTAAGTTTGGTCTTTTTATGGTGTCACACAATTCCTGCATATTCCATTCTTGTGCTTTCTTAACTTTTTCATAATCTTTGCTTGAGTTGTCTAGTTCATCCACTTTATCTTCCAGTTGATACTCTGTTTTCCATTTCATTCATCCTATTGTTGAGGCTTTCTCTTGTCATTTCTAATTGGCTTATGGAGTGTTTCACTTCATTCTTTATTTCAGCCTGAGTATTCTTCAATATTTCTAGCTCTTTTCTGAATTCATTCAGAAGTTTATCCCTATCTTCCTTCAGCTCTATGATTACCTTGTTTGTGTGTTCTTTAAATTCACTGAATTCCTTTATCATCTTCATTATTGTTCTTTTGAGTTC